AAATAGTTTATGTGTGTGTGTGTGTGTGTGTGTGTGTGTGTGTGTGTGTAATCCCTTCGTCTTTCTTATTCTTCTCTTATACTTGTCTTCATCTTCATTTGAAACTGAAACTTAGACCAATCTTCAGTTTGTTTTTTAATTAAAAACAAATTTTATGCAGCACTTCTGACGCGTTTGTTGTTGTTTGTAAAATTATAAAGTACTGGATTGTTGAATTTAATTTTAAATTCAACATGTGTGTGACAACATTGACGAATTGCAGTCAGGGTGTTATAGTGTAAGTAGCAATCTACACATTATATAATAAGTAAATACGATTGAAGAGTTATATAAAAGGTTTTTTGTTCAGAAGGCCAATGTGCAGGATAATGCTTCCTATCCAAAAGCACATTACAATCATACCTGGTTCAATAAAACTGTGTCAAAGGCCAACATAAAATGCTGCTTTACTTGACCGTATAATAGAAAATACCTAAGAATGTCTGGAGGAATTCATTTCAAAAGCTAGAGCAGTATTCCAAGTGTCACTTTTCTGAAGCGTGTTTTGCAGTATATTAATAGTTGCTTAAGTTAAAGTTTATAAAAGATCAGTGAACATTACAGGCTTTCTCTATGATTAAACATCTTGATATAACTAAAATATAACCAGTTATATTTTTAAAGTAGCTCTTTAAAGTTTGCGTGCAGACGTTGAGTGTGTTTTTCAATATGTAAAGTTTTTAATTCGTGATGAGTAATCTTCGGAATGATGTACGGTTTTTAAATCTCAGCAAATGTTCAAAAGTCGAACATTTATAGACAGGCCTCACAAATGGTATGTTTTATATATATTATCACATAAAATGCATTTAATTAATGTATTGTAAGTTTGATTTCTCGCACCTTTCAAGTAAATTATTATCATGTTTAAACAGCGTGTTTGTCTGACTTAGACCATTTCTATCAATTTCTTAATACCATTGAATGTTATAATCCACGGCGTGTAGCACATGACCAAGAACTGCATCAATTCCTATATATTGTATGTTTCAAGAAATTAAACTCAGATACTAACTCTTCTTTATACGAAGAAATATATAAAGTTCGCTTTACATAAACATGAATAAATTTAAAATTTAGACTTCATGAACAGAAATCATCTATTAAAAAAAAGCAAAACGGAAAATTAATGAATCGTTGTTAACTGAATATATGGTGAAGCACGCTCTTTCTCATAGTGTTGTGAAAAGTTAGCTGGAACGATGACAAATTAATTAAATATTCGAATAGTAAATACGAATTAAATGTAATAGAATCATTAGAAATATTTAAGAACTCTAAGTCAATTTTATATAGCAAACTGGAAATTAATATTAAAAGAAAGATAAACAGGTGACAGCACTATTTATGTTAACCGATTGGCTGAAGTTTTTGGCACCCTGAAAAAATGAGAAAGACCTATAAAGAGTGTAATGGATTCTTCGCTGCTTTTTTATTCTTAATAATGCTGAGACTGTAACTAATTTAAACATATAAAGTTATTAGGTAAGGCCTGATGGCTTTAATAATGTTTTGTTGTTTTCGTAAGTATAATATGCATTTTAATGTGATCTTTACTGCTTTCAGTAAGGCTAGTGATGGATTAATAACTATTGATAACAATACATATATATTTATATTGGAACATAACCATCCCAACTCTGTATAACAGGGTCAAAACTCGGTGAAGATAAATATTTGTCATATTGCATGACCCAAATCTATGAAAATCCCTATATTTTATATAGTACTAGACCACCGTGACCTGTTGGGTCAACCACTATTCAGAGGTTATGAAGAATTCAAGCTT